CGCCCGCTCGCCCCGCGCCTGCCACGGGGGGCGGCCGGCTGTGTCCGCGCCGCCGCCGCAGTGTCCCCGCCCCCCGCCCGCGCCGCGCGCCCCCCACGCGCGCCCACCCGGCCACGCGCCCCCCGCCCACGCCTCGCCGTGCGCGCGCGCGTCCGCCGGCCGCCCCCGCAACCTCGTCCGCGGCTCTCCCGCACATGCACACACGGGTCGCACTCCCCGGTCCCACCGGGGGCATTTCCTCTCGTGGTCACGCTGACACCAACATGCACTGCCACGCTCCATCCCTGCAGACACGCAGTCATTCTCACCCGCTTGTTCCCTGTGGTCGTCCCCTTTCACAACCACATGCGCACCCTGCCACCTCACCCCCCGACATCCACGATCACGCATGCATGTGCGCGCGCACACACACACACACGCCGTCATCTCACCCCCCGATATCCACGATCACACACCTGTACACCCTACCACACTCACCCCGCATTGGTCCCCCTCCTCTCCCCATCCTGAATCTTAGGCCTCATACTTGGGTGCTCCAGGATCACAATCGCACACCCTACCTCACTCCACTTTCAGTCCCCCTCACACACCCTCACACTCCCGCCTGGATCCCTGGGATTCGCAGTCACACACACGCACACACTCATTGTCACACTCCCTCCCTCAGCTGCCTCTGGGGCTTACACTTGCCCTCCCAGGCCTTCACACACATTCAAGCATGCTGAGAATCTCACACATACGCACACCTGACCCCTCCACCCAGACCCACATCCGCACCCAGGTGTTCACACACTCCCACACAGTCTGTAGGATCCATGAACTTTCAAGGGCCTGTTAAAGCTTTGAGAACAGGAAGAAAATGAGTCCTGGTGCCAGAAGGAAAGTCAGAAGGGGGGGGGGGTTTAAAAAGCTATATGTAATTGAGGATCCTCAAAGTGTCAAACCCTGTAAACTAGCTTCCTGTAACTAAAGCAAAGTTCTAAGTTAATTATACCTAATATATTTCACACGGCGTATGGGTGCCTTTTAATATGTGTGCTATGAGCCACCAGGTATCTGTGTCTAGGACCCTGCCTAAAGGAAGGCCAATCCCAAACCCAGAAGTGTGACTTATGTCATGTCACAGTGAAGTTCCTCATGAAAAGAAGCAGGCCGTTAGAATGGGGGCATTGTGCCTTCGAAGGGAAAAGAGCACTGTCTGGCTAACAGAGCTAGGTTTGCTTAGCTTTCTCTCTTGCCTCTGCATGGTGCTGAGCACAGGGGCCAGGCACACAGTCAACACTCAGTGCTCACTGCGTGGAGGAAACGTGAACACCTGGTTGTGTTTACTGACTGTGGCATCAAGGTAGGGCCTCCCCACCCTCTCCTACCTGCTCCCCTGGAGGTTCCCCTTAAGTTCCAACCACCTCACCTAAGCAGCAAACCCCAGACCCTCCTCTCCACTCCACTCCCACACAGGCCAAAAGAAAAGACCAGAGATTGTGACCCCACACATCTGGGGCCCTGCACAGGTGAGCTTTGGTTTTTCCTCATGCACCTAAAACGTGCATGGGGTTCCATATTTAATCCTCCAACAGCTCCGCCAGCTAGGGCGCTATCAACCCCATTTTACAGGTGGGGACATAGCAGGTCAGAGTGGCCTGCACATAGCAATGAGCTTAGGAAGGAACTAGGCTGGGCTCCAGGGCCTGGCTTTTCAGGCTCTCACAGGCAGGATGAAGTTACGACACTTCCAGCCACCTCCCAGTCCCCATTTCCAGATAGCTCCAAGCTCCCTGCGGCCCTTGTGGAACCCATCCGTGGCCACCGCCGTCAGACTGTGCTCTCTTTTTCTGAAAGCTGGAGTAGAACCATGGCTCTGCTATCCTGTACTACTCTCCCAGACAACTTACAAACGGCCAGACCTCAGTGGCTTCATCCATAAAGTGTGGATGGTGACAGCCTCACAGGATTGTTGGAAGGCTTAAATGAGTTCATCGTAAATAGAAAACAATTGGAAGAGTGGCAAAGCAGAGGAAGTACTCTGTAAGGCTCGTTATTACAGAGTTGGACGAGTTCAGTGCAATCATGGGAATGGGAAGCCCTTAGCACAATGCATGTGCACGGTAACACTCAGGGAAGGGAAGCGATTACAATTCCTTGGGAACTGTTGGGAATATTCTTATGTTTCCCTAATTAAAGAACAAGCACCATAGTACTTATCCATTGGTCCTCTCTGGACAAAAAGATTCTAGATAGATATTTAAAATATGGTTTAATTTATAGACTATTTTGGGGGGCTAGTTTGGGATTTACACAAAATCTGAGCAGACAGGAGCAAGAACTCCCTCCCCCCACCCCATACCTATCTACTCCATGTCGCCCCCAACCCAAACTCAGCAGTTCCCTTGTTATTAACATCTTGCGTGAGGCTGGTACATGGATCTTAGAAGTTTCCTTATTTTTAATCTACTCTTTCTATTTTTTTCTTTAGTAAACATGTATGACTTTTACAATGTTTTTACATAATCATTTTTTATTGTGTCTTATTCATTTTTTTAAAAGATTTTATTTGACAGTGAGAGAGATCACAAGTAGGCAGAACAGAAGGCAGACAGAGAGGGGGAAGCAGGCTCCCCGCTGAGCAGAGAGCCCGATGCAGGGCTCAATCCCAGGACCCTGAGATCATGACCCAAGCCCAAGGCAGAGGCTTAACCCACTGAGCCACTCAGGCACCCCACCATGGGGCTCAAACTCACGACCCCGAGATTAAGAGTCACATGCTCTTCCAACCAAGCCAGTCAGGTGCACCTAAATGAACAATTTTTTTAAAAGACCAAGGGAGCCCCCTCTTACTCTCCAGAGGTAATATTTTCATGTGAAAAGAGGGATGATTTTTACTGTTTTTCTGTTTTCCCAAGTTTTTTTTTTTTTTTCAGTACACTTTTATAAATAAGCATTGGAAAAGACACTTCTCAAAAGACTTCAGCAAGGCAATCCCTCAGGAAGAGAGGCACTTAAAAGCTTTTATCTCATCTTGTGAGTGATCTAGATGCATGAGGCAGGAGAGAGGCCTATGGGGACTTTGAGAGCCCTGCTGGGGGCCAGGAGAAGAGCAGGGCTAGGACAGGGCAGTGACTGGAGGGAGGGGTAGCTGGGGGTCCCACTCAGCAGGACACCACTTCCCTCTTCCCAGCCTGGCCCTGCCTTCTCCCCATGGTCCTGGGAATGGTCGCCTCGGGGTTCTGCTTGCAGTCTCTTTTGTGACCCTTGGAGCCCTCTCGGCCCAGCAGGCCCTGAGTACAGGAAGCTCCCCGTACTGATACCTGGAACAGAAAGGTCTTTAACAGATAAGCCAACCTAATCCAGTCTCTGCTTTCCAGAAGACAGTGAGGTGCGTAGAGGCCACCCAGCCTCATCCACAGATGGTAGGCTGAGGCCATAATCTATTTTGAGATCTCTGTACAGCCCACCACGAAGCCTTGTTTACATGGATCTCCAAGCTGTTTATAGCATGTTGGCAGTAAGTAGACAAGAGGTCAAGGGCGCTAGCATACATGAAGTGGAGGCAGGGAACATGGGAACTCAGAATTATTATTTTTTTAAGATTTATTTATTTATGGAGCACCTGGGTGGTTCAGTTGGTTCAGTGTCTGCCTTCAGCTTGGGTCATGGTCCCAGGGTCCTGGGATGGAGCCTTGCGTTGGGCTCGAGCCTGCTTCTCCCTCTCCCTTCTGCATGCCTCTCTGTCTGCATGTGCTCTCTGTCAAATAAATAAAATTTTTTAAAAAATTTATTTTAGAGCTAAACAGAGAGCAAACTTGAGCAGAGTAGGGACACAGAGAGACTCTCGAGTAGACTCCCAGCTGAGCGCAGACCCCAACATGGGGCATGAACCCACAACCCTGAAATCATGCCCTGAGCCAAAGTCAAGAGTCAGATGGACACTTAACCAGCTGAGCCACCCAGGCGCCTTGGGAACTCAGAATTATTACAAATCTTTTGGGTGCTCTCCAGCTGCAGGGAGAAGTGAAGTTCTTTGGGTGCCTGGAATCTTCTCTCTGAATGATTCTGGGTGAAGGCTCTAGGTGTTCCCTACAGCAGAGCTGCCAACCTGGGTGCTACTGACACGTGTGCTGAATAGTCCTTTATCCTGGGGGCTTTGCTGTGCATTGTAGGATGTTTAGCAGTACCCTGGTTGCTTTCCCCTACAAGCCAGCAGCAGCTCCCCTCCCCCCTCCCAGTTGTGACAATCACAGATGTCTTCAGATATTGTGAAATGTCCTGGAGGGCAAAATGTCCTGGAGGGTTGAGTCCCACCAGGCCAGAATGGGAGGTGAAATAATTTTTAAATGTCTAGCAAGGCTGTGTCCAACACTAATCTCATCATTCCCCTCCCTGACACACACCGACCCCCCTTTTGAAAAATAACTCCTTAAGAACTTTCCAGAAGCAACAGTATCTACCTAGAACTTAGTAATACTACTTGGTTTGTACAGTAGTGTTTTTACCTCCAAAAAGACATAGGGAGTTTGGGGAAGATGCCACAGAACAGTCATTCACTCAAGTAATCTTCACGGAGGACCTGTAGTGTTCAGGGTACTGGGTACAGGGTACAGGGGACTGGGGAGATACAGTTAACAGACACACACAATCCCTGCTCTCTGGTGTCCGGGACTGCTGGCTTCTAGAAGATATTATCCCGGCAAACGGTGCCTTTCATTGTCTTATTTCACAACTCTGTTGAGAAACTACTGTAATACACATGACTCTTGCCCATAGAAATGCAGATGAATTTTATCCAGTGGAATGCAAGCATTGCCCTGTGGATCCCAGTGTGCCTTTGCTTCCATGGTCCTGACTGCCTGCTTTCCTGGGGAGTGGAGTGGGGTGGCGGGTGTGGGGGCGGGGTTGATTGTCTTTTGAATCTGCTGTAAATCTGTTTGTGAAATCTTTGACACATGTCCTTTTCTATTTGTAGGAGCCATGATTTTCCTTTTTTAAATATTATATAAGAGTAGACAGCAAATCCACAGGTAAACATTTTGAGAGAACAAAACGCCATGTGGATGGGAAAGATATCTGTTGTGCAGTTGCTAATCCTCCTTACTCGATAAAAATAGAACATTAGCCACCCAAGTGGACCCCTCTGATTTCCCCCTTAATTTCACTGCCCTGCATGATCCCAAAGGGCGGTGATCTGAAAGTCCTTGAGCGTCCCCTTTTTTTCTCTGGGGTCTTTGCCATGTGAGAAAAATGAAGATGAAGGTATTATTGGTCTCTGTCATGTCAATTACCTCAGGATATTTCGAGAAGTTAGCAG